GACAAAAATTAGTAGTATGGGCTGTGGAGGAGCAGTATGCACAAGCTGGTGTTCTTAGACCTGCAAAGTGTCTGCAAAATAAGACGGTATCAATCCTTCCCCAGTTGGATCGTGTACCGTACTGGGAGAAGGCTCCAGCCACTTTTGCAGAAAAAGACCTATGGTAGTCATAGAATGCTGAACCACCATATTTGTTGCCCAGGTCTACCAGCTTGTGCATATAGAGATCAAACTCCTCTATTCTGTTGGGATAAACCGCACAGACGACATCCCTGTAAATACCAAACGCTAGTACAAATTCAGGGATAGTCAGTTTCCTGTTCAGGCGGGCATCCCTAGATCTGACAATAACAGAAACATCATCATAAGCATACGTCTTATGTTCCACAATGTCCTGGGAGGCAATCAACAGGGAAGCCAGGTTGACGTCTTTACCTTCCAGGATATCCCTTTTGATATGCTCAGGTATCATGTGGGCCGGGCTAACTTCCTGGTCATCCAGGGTGCTGGCTGGAGCGACTAATGGCAAGGCTGGTGTTTGTACCGCAGCCGCGGGTGGCCCTGCTAGAGTGAGGGCCGTGGTGACCGACTCAAGTTTCTCCAGCCTGGAGTTGACCTTGCCCATGGATGCCATGAGTGAGGATAACATGGCATGTATGTCCCCTGGGTTGGACTGGCTAGATCCTTCCCCGGCTTCCATGTTATTGGTTGATGTGCGTAGCAGTTTGAAAAGTTCTGCCTTCCTTGCTGTAGCGGGGTAGGGGATTTGTCGTCTCCTTAATTCCGTGGTTATGCGCGGGATTGTCCAGGATCTAATTGATGCTGGACTGGCTAGCTCTCCTCCTTGTGTGGGAGTGACAGCTCTAGCCGGGGTGCTAGGCAGGGAGAAATCCTCTACCCCTTCCTGAGACATACTATAAATAAAACAATAATTAGTATATAGAACTACCAAATTGTACTGGCAGGCTAGCTAGGCCGGATGGCGAAAGTATTATACTTGTTTGGTGACAGGTGAGGCCCTGCTAATTGCCAAGCGGCTTGAGAGGCCCTATCTATGCGTTGGCGCGAGGGGTTATTGAGGCCACTTGACGTAGTGGCAGGAGTTTTAGGCCTCTCGGTGACTGTATGACAGAAAACAGGGGAAGGGAGTGACAGGTGAGGCCCTCTCTATGCAACATGCGAGGCGGCTAGCTAACGTGTGGCCCGATGGGTGTTTGCCTCCGAAACGTTTGAGGCGGGGTGTTGGCCTCGCGGGACCACTAACTGATGGCGACAGCCAAGACGGGGTAAATACCTATTGGGAATCCTGTGACCCTATTGCCAGTACTCTAAACTAGGGGGATGAAATGAAATGTATGGTAGAATACCATATGAGCAGGTGTACGTACCTGGTAGTATGATAAATCACAGGAATAAACCGTGTGGAGCAATTATATAAGCTTGACAGCCTAAAAATGGGTAAAAGAGAGTAGTATGATGAGTGTGGAGTGTAAAAGAACCAGACTTATAGTCTGTAGCAGCAATGTATAAAATTATGTTGATACCATGGGAATAGCTATGAGTGGCTCAGAAATGTTTGCATGCTTGAATAAGACATCTGAGGGAGGCCGTGGCCTATGTACAAACAATCTATGTGTTACGTGATAATGGTGTGTAAAGGAAAACATGAAACGTAGGTTATATACATATGTATATGACTGTGCAGGGGACATATGATTGGTTGGATCAGTACGTGTGATTCAACCCGAGTATGCATGCGAAAGGATTTAAGCCTTATGTGTCATCGTCATGACAGAGAAATGAGGCCTGTAATGTAGGCTGAGTGAATTGAAATGAAATGGATAGTTATAAAACTCCTGGCGTGGGAGTTCAATGATCTGTACCTAAATGTAACTGGTTTTATAGAAAGGGACATGGATGAGGTCATGGCCTAATTAACACAGCGTTATGTATGATATGTAGCAGAATAACCAAAGGCAGGGATACCCCAAAATGATTTAAAATGATGTAAAGTGATGTATATCTATATGATATGTTTGTATAGAAAAGACGTATCAACCCGAGAATTATTGCTTAAATGAACCTATATCCTTTGTATGTGTTGTATTAATAACCCAGAAGTGAGGCTTGTAACATAGGCTGAGTCCATTTGTATAAATGGATAAGTAATGCAGACCCCTGAAAGCGTGGGAGTCAAATGGTATATACAGAGAAGTGGACTTGATTTGTGGACGTAATACAATACTGACAATATTTTAAAAGTAATCAAAATCTATTAAGCAAGCAATTCTTTAACCGAACGTTATATACACATGAAATGGTGAACATAATTCATGAAAGGATTATACGTGAACACACAGAAAAGCCGAAAGCAAATGTGAGGGGAACACAGAAGTTAGAATAGTTTAACCGTATGATTTATGCGAACCAAAAGCGTGTATGAGCGTATGTAAAAATTTGCCGAACGGCAAAACAACCGAATGATAATTAGTTTCAATAACATGAAATAGGATATGCGAAATGACTATTGAACGATTTAAATATGTTCAACCGAATGTCCGTACGAATGAAAAGCCCGCGAATGGCTTGAAACATTCGTGTCATAACCAGGGAAAAATCCGTAAAGCGAGGACCCGTGCTGTACCGTACGCCGTGGGAACCAGTCCTGGCATGACAGGAAGGTCTGACTTACGGTTTAGGAGTCCCTGGGACGCAATCTACGACGGAGAACGGAGTCAGAAGAAGCTGGACGGGCGGAAAGGCCTGAACAGGATTCCTGGACACAGCTTAACGTGGTGAAACCTCCTGGATACTGAAACCAAGATGGCGTCTGAGAGAACCCGGAAGTGGATCCTCATTCAACGCTGACCTCGAACGGTAAGGAGCCAGGCAAGGGGAGTGCCTTAAGTAAGCTAGGGGTAGCAAACCAGCACCTCCCACAAATACAGGCAAATTGCCTTAATACATATATATATATATATATATATATATATATATATATATATATATATATATATACTGAATATATATATATACATACACTGTCTAGGTGTATTTTACTATTAATATATATATATATATAATTATATATATATATATTAATATCAAATTACACGTAGACTGATACTGATTAAATATATATATATAATTATTGTTATATATATTTATATATAATATAAAAAATTAAATATGTAAATACATTAAAAAATAAAAGTAAAAAAAAATGAAAAACAATAAATTCAAAAATATATAGATGTGTTATTTAGTTCTAACTGTATTGTGATATTAAAATATATATATATATTTATATCAAAATACACGTAGAACTAAATAATATATATATCTATATACATAAATATATACGTATATATATCACTATATATATATACCTATATATAAATAAAATATTTAAAAATTATATAGATATACACACATATAGATTCACATGCACGTGCGATGTGTGTGTGTGTGTGTGTGTGTGTGTATATATATATATATATATATATATATATATATATATATATATATATTCTACATATATATTTATGTCATATTTTTACATTATTGGGTATCTTAATTAATTACAATTAGAGGGACCTGCCTGACAACCCATGCTGAAAGTAAAGGGAATTTAATTGGCTAGCACTATATTTAACCCTATAACTTTCCAAGACACCATAAAACCTGTACATGGGGGGTACTGTTCTACTTGGGAGACTTTGCTGAACACAAATATTAGTGTTTCAAAACAGTAAAATGTATTACAACAATGATATCGCCAGTAAAAGTGAATTTTTTTGCATTTTTCATGCACAAACAGCACTTACACGGACAATATTATTGCTGTGATACTTTTACTGTTTTGAAACACAAATATTTGTGTTCAGCGAAGTCTCCCGAGTACAACAGTATCCCTCATGTACAGGTTTTATGGTGTTTTCAAAAGTTACAGCGTCAAATATAAGGCTTGCGTTTCATTTTTTTCACATTAAAATTCGCCAGATTGGTTACGGTGCCTTTGAGACCCTATGGTAGCCCGAGAATGAAAATTACCCCTATGATGGCATACCATTTGCAATAGTAGACAACCCAAGGTATTGCAAACGGGGTATGTCCAGTCTTTTTTAGTAGCCACTTAGTCACAAACACTGGCCAAAATTGGCGTTTTTTGCATTTTTCACACAAACAAATACTAACACTAACTTTGGCCAGTGTTTGTGACCAAATGGCTACTAAAAAAGACTGGACATACCCCATTTGTAATACCTTGGGTTGTCTACTATTGCAAATGGTATGCCATTATGGGTGTAAATTTCATTCCTGGCTACTATAAAGTCCCAAAGGCAACGTAACCAATCTGGCAAATTTCAATTTCTAATGTAACGTGCTAGATTTGACCCTGTAACTTCCCAAAACGCCATAAAACCAGTACATAGGGGGTACTGTTTTACACGTGAGACTTTGCTGAATTCAAATATGTGTATTTTATTGCAGTAAAAGCAAACAGTATTATGACATTGACCGTTAAAATGTCATGTAGAACTAAAAAAAATACAAAAATTCTCCCATTTTTTTCCATATTAAATTGTTTCATAGCTAAATATTTGATATTAAATAAAAGCCCTGTTTCCCCTGAATAAAATGATGTATAATAAGGGTGGGTGCATTTACTATGAAAGAGGTGTATTACAGTTGGACAGACATGTAGCGCAAATGCCAGGTTTTGTTTACATTTTGTTTCGTTCACAACGTGTACATTTGGCTCCGTCTTTAAGGGGTTAAGAGCTTAGAACTTGTTTCCAATTGTTAAGCATCAGTTCATATTTAAAGGTGTATATTGTATGCACTGTTGTGTTTATGAATAGTATGGTATTAATATGTTAAAATTTTGATATTTTATAATTTCTCAGATTCACGATTGTAATTTTTTTTTGTGTGAAGATGATGCTATTATGCTATTATATATATATATATTTATATTTATTTTCCCCATTTGTTAGGAAATGTAAATTGATTGCTGAGATAAAAACAAATAGAGAAGTTTATTCAGGTGATTTAGCAAAGGCTGTGGAAAACATAATGGAGAAGAAATCCTCTTTGGAAGCAAGAGTTACAATTGCAAAGACGGTATTAAAGTCGCCATCGGAGAGCACATATTGCAATCTAGATCAGGTTTGTATTCTTTAAATATGATCAATAACATAGTAATGAGTACAAATGTAACCGATTTAACTGTAACATGTTGCACCCCTTTTTTCCTTTCTGTACCCCGTTATGTTTCAAAAAAAAAAAAAAAAAACTCTTCTTTTGAAGATCCAAAAAAAAAAAATTTATAAAAAAAAAAATATGATCAGTAACTACTAGCCCCAGTATTTTACTACGTATCAGGTAAAGATTGCTGCAATGCGTATAGCATACATGGTGAAGACACAGTTGCCAACTGTCCTGAATTTGTAGGGACACTCCTGTGTTTGGGCTCATGTCATAGAACCAGTCCAGCCTTCAAGCGGTAGAAATACCAGTGGTGCAGCCAGTGTAGCAAACAACTCACAGGAAGCTGTACAAATATATGTTTTTGTTAATTCTGTGTGCGTGTGTCTGTTCTTTCTTGCCACCAAGTGTCCATTGAAATGTTGGCAACTATATATCATGTAAAAGCAATATAACCGTCAGTCAGAGGGAAAAAAAATAGTCAGCTTTTGTTTAGCCTGCCTTTATATTGTGGTGGGTTGACAGTGGTTAGTGGGTAGTGTTGGGACAAATATAGAGGAATAGGATACAAATACACACGGACACCCAGTAATGTCCCCGTATTCACACATGTCCAGTTTCCCAAAGCTTACAATTCACTGGTACTCAAATCTTCCACTTGTTCACTTTAAGTGAGTGAAGTGACATAAAAGGCTGTAATTTGCATGCAAGAGCTATCCAGCTTTAGGACCTGCCAGTATTGTGCCATGGAATTTTCCCTGAACAAGGACAAGCGCACCAGAGCAACAAAGACAAGTGCACCCTTAAGTCGATAAGTGAGGAGTTATCTGTGTGTGTGTATATATATATATATATATATATATATATATATATATATATATATATATATATATATATACACATACACACACACACACACATCCCATTGGACTTCAAGATCCAGACAGACAAGCAAGTGCTGGCCAACCAACCCGAGATCGTGGTGGTAGACAAGCAACGGAAGACTGCAGTCGTGATGGATGTGGCAATACCATCAGGAAGAAGGAACATGAGAAGGTGGATACCAAGGACTGAATGAAAAACTAGAATGGATGTGGAAAGTGAAGGCAGTAGTAGTCCCATTTGTGATACGAGCACTCGGGGCTGTGACTCTCAAGTTGGGGGAGTGGCTTGAACAGATTCCAGTTGGGACATCTGACATCGCTGTCCCGAAGAGTGCAGTTCTAAGAACAACTAAGAAACGGAGCAGAACTCTCAAACTCCCAGGCCTCTGGAAGAAGAACCGAGAATGAGGAATAAATATATCACCCAGGAGGGGTGAGAAAATCAATTTACATGTATGGTGGTAATTGAGGGTTAAGCTGCCCTTGTTGTATGTATATGAAAAGTTAAGTACAGTTCATGATAAGCTGGCTGGGGATTGGATGCAGACCTTGAGCGATAGAAGCGCGGGAAGCAAGTAAGATTACATTGCAGAAGCATGAGTGCCGTCCTGTCAGCCATTTCTAATTAGGGAGAAGCTCAGACGGACCTTTTCCCTCCCCTTTTATTAATTAATTTTTTATAACTATTTGTCGTGGTGGTATAAAGCATTGGGGCAAAAGTCATCCTCAGGGTCAAATTCTAAGCAAGGATATGGTGGTAAATGGTTTTAAACGATAGGCGGTCGGATATTCTAAGACTGATTGACAATTCTGTGGTTTATAAAGTTAAGTTTTTCAAAATCGTTATTTTATTTAAATATGTTGTATCCCTCTAAAATTAGAGTAGTAAGCATCTTGAGATTTGAAAAACACCACTGCCTATCCCATTGAAATTTTCATAAAAGGCCAAAATAGATTAACTAAAAAATAAAATCTCAGTTAGCTATGCTTCCAGTTTAGCTACTTTGGCCTAAAAAATTATTTAATTTTGACTCATAACTCATCCTTAGAGATACATTAAAGTATTGCTTGCTATGATGTTGAACATGTTACAGTATTTTGTATATAATATTGTCTAGTTGCATAGTTAGATTGACATTAATTATATATTGTTTCTTTTTATTGTTTTTCTTATTAAGCTTGTTGCACTTTTGAAAGAAAACTTTGAAAAAGAGCGCTTGGTGTCTGATTCTCTCAAGTCATGTTGTAATGTAAGGTAAGCAATTAAATATTTAGCTTTTTACAGATAAACAAAGTTATGTTTCAGTTTAACAGACTCAAAGGGCTTGAAGATTTTATATGTGGATAGTGCAGGAAGTAATAAATATAATCCTGTACCCCCTTTTAAAGGGGCCTATCCCATTTTGGCCGAAAAATGGTCAAATCTGCTTAAAATTACTGAACTCTAGTTCTAGAATGTGTCACGCTGTGGCTCCTCTTGACTGTCACATGACTATAGGGTCAGGACCCTAAAGTGCTAAACTCACCATATACGTGGCTTGTTCCCCCCCTCCTTAGTCCCCCATAAAAGTATAAAACTCACCTTATTTCCAGCACCACACGGGTCTGCAAGCACTGGCTCCACCCCCTTGTGACATCATCGATATGGCCGATTAGCCAATCCATTGCTTTCCCTATGATTAGCCAAAATCGGCAAGGGGGCGGGGCCAAATGCTGTTTTGGGCAATCAAGATCTCCTCGTAGAGATGAATTGAATCAATGCATCTCTATGAGGAAAATTCAACGTCTCCACGCAGAGTGTGAGGACGCTGAACAGCAGGGCTGCTTACTGTGCAGCCCAGAGCCAGGAAGCCCCTCCAGTGGCCATCTAAGGAGTGGCCACTTGGAGGTGTCCCTAGGGGCTAGGAGCTATTATACTCACCAGAACTACTACATTAAGCTGTAGTTTTTCTGGTGACTATAGTGTCCCTATAAAGCTGTAATGTAAACATTGCAGTTTCTCTGGAACTGCAAGGTTTTACATTGCAGCACTAGGTGGAAAATGGACACAGCACCCAGACCACTTCAATTAGCTGAAGTGGTCTAGGTGCCTACAGTGTCCCTTTATGTCTATTATATTGTCTAATTTTTTGCATACTAACCCACTTCCTGATCAAAAACATAGCCATGTTCCTCAATGAACCCTGTCACAACCCACTGTGAACTACTTATTGCATTGCCCTGACAAATAACCTGCTCCCTACCTAAAATAGTTTGCCACATTTTGTGTCAGTTAACTTCTTTTCTCCCCAAAATGTCTTACCATATTCCCTTGCCAACTAACCATCTCAAGATTAAATACTCTGAACTTTGGATTATTTGTCCCCTTTTCACCTAGGTCGTATTTTTCTTTTTTTTTTTTTCCCCCAGAGTGTTTCAGGAAACCAACCTTTTTCGAAGTCCTAGTTAGTTGTTGCGTTAATATTTCAAGTTTGTTGTCAATGCACCACAGCTTTTTTTTCAACAAAGAAGTCACACTGAATTATACTTTCTTGTATTTTTTGGAGGAAGGGAGAATTAATGATATCCTGTTTACATTCTAGGATTCATTTTAACAAAACCATCATTCAAGAATTGAAGAAAATAGGGAAGGTCTTTAGTGGTGAAGTTAGAGTGTAAGTTGTTTTCCTTTTCTACCATGATACTACTTATTTATGTTTTGTATCTGGTAATGAATTTCTCTATGACCAAAATTAATTCTACAGTTGCATTGATTGTAAAAAAATATTTTTACAGCAGAGCACAAGTAAACAGCCTTGACTCATCAACTGAGCAAATTTTTGTCAAGGATCATATTGAGGTGTCAGAATACAAAAATGACAAAAGTGGGATACCAATTGAAGTGGAATATGATATTGATCAAAACAAGCAGGGACATCATGAAGAGAAGCCAACAGTCCACCAAGAATACAACTTATCAATATCTCATAGTACTCTTGCTGGTGTTTCTCAGTCTTTTTCCGATCCTGATGTCATTATTGAAGAAATAATATTTGAAGATGATAAGCAAGCTTGTAAGTATATTTTTTGAGTGAAGTGAAATAATAAAATTATTTGCTGGATTAATTTTTCTTTATGATTTGGGAAATTGTCTGTAAAAGACCTTGGTACATCTTAATTTTCATTGGCACACCTTGGATCTGTCATTCACATTTGCTGGATTATATTATGAAACTTATATTTGCAAAAATAAGTACTGGTTAACGAAATTGATTAAATTTACTTATTTACAAAGTAATCATGTTTTACACAGATATTGTCGTTCTTCCACCCAGATTACATTATATCAGGAGTACCCAAAAGGTAGATCCCCTGATGTTTTAAAACTACAGCTTTCATGATGCTTTGTCATTCTAAAGGCATTCAAAGCACCATGGGAGTTATAATTCTGCAACATCTGAGCATTTACCTTTTGGGCACCTCTGCATCATATGAAATAAGTGGTCATGGAGGCTGGAGTAATCCATTAAAGGAGATTATTGTAAAACTGGAAAATTCTGCAGAGTCAGGCTGTAAAATTAATAAGGAAGTACATGGTATAGGTGCTCGCTATATCTTAAGAGATGGATAAGGGCAGCAGACTATCACACAAGATTGCCCCAACCTTGTAATAGCACAAATAGAACATACCACCACTACTGCGGCACATATAAAATTTGACAGGGATTATACCGTCCACACCCTTAACAGCACAGCTCTGTATAGGTCTTGAAACTGTGAGTGTGCTTTCATTTCAATATACCACCCTATAGGCTTTAAAATTACTACACTTAGATTGTGTGTTATCTCGGTTTTTGTCTTTGAGAGATTCATCTATCCGCAAGATTCTGTTGTACTCATGTATGTATATATCTGTATCTGTTTATGGCTACACTAAACCACAGGTGCGGATTATCTGTTTTTTTCTTCTTTTATGTAAAATTAATAAGGTTCAGTGAAAGATTTGTTATGAAGAAAGGCTAGATGTTTTCGCTCTTGAAAAATTAATCTTAATCCCTTAAAGGGACACCGTAGGCACTGTATCTGCTACATCTCATTAAACTGGTTATAGTGTCTGGAGTCCCCTGGTACCATAATTTCTTTCAGCATTTTAGGCAGCCATGACCCAGGAAGGATCTTTAAAAGCCATCTAAGGAGTGGTCAGTGAAGTTATCACTAGGCTGTAATGTAAACACTGCATTTTCTCTGAAAAGACAGTGTTTACAGCAAAAAGCCTGAAGGTAATGATTCTACTCACCAGAACAAATTCAATAAGCTGTAGTTGTTCTGGTGACTATAGTGTCCCTTTAATATTAAAATACACTTAGAAAGTGTGTGTGTGTATAAGTATATATTATTTAATTGTAAACTGTGTTTAAACTTTATTTAACTTTATTTCAGGCAGCACGCCCGCCGTCCTTAAAGGGACACTGTAGTCACTATAACCACTTTGTCTCTTTGAATTGGTTATAGTGCCTGGAGTGGCCTGGCACTGTCCCTCCATTCAGTGTTGCACCATGTTTGTGCAATATGCCACAAAATAAGAGTCCCTGGTCACCCACAGTCCGGCCCCTTCTGTATGTGTAGCTAAGGCAGAGATTACACACTTCCTTGTTGTCATACCCATTCATACCGTCAGTTGGAGCTCTGACAGGTTAAAAGTAGGGATCGACCGATTATCGGTTTTACCGATATAATCGGCCGATATTCGGTATTCTCGGCAATATCGGTATCGGCCAATTCAGATACCGATATTGCCGATAATACCTCCTAGGACCGCCAGGCTCATTACAAGCCCGGCGGTCCTGGGGGGGCGGAGAGCAAGCGCTTACTCACCTCCCAGCAGCTCCTCCAGCTCCCCAGTGTAACTCTCGCGAGACCCGCGGCCGTCAGAGCATTGCCATGTGTCACCATGGCAACGCTACGCGCAACACGCTAGCCGCGAGAGTTGCACTGGGGAGCTGGAGGAGCTGCTGGGAGGTGAGCAAATACCACTGGACCACCAGGGACTGCTATATCCCCCCTCCCTGGCCAGGTATGAAACAGGGAGGAGGGACAACAAACAAAAAATAATAATTAAATCTAAAAAAATATTAATTTAATAAAAAAATGCCCCCTCACACACACTCCATTATATACACATACACTACACAAACACACTGTGTATATAATGCAGTGTGTGTGTATAGTGTGTGTGTGTATACAATGCACACAAATACACACACTGCATTATATACAAACACTCTACAAACACACACTGCATTATATACACACACTACACAATATAATGCAGTGTGTTTGTGTAGTGTGTGTATATAATGCTGTGTGTATATAATGCAGTGTGTGGGTATATAATATAGTGTGTGTGTATACAACGCACACAAATACACACACTGCATTATATACACACACACTACACACAAACACTGCATTATATACACATTACACAAACACACTGTATATAATGCAGTGTGTTTGTGTAGTGTGTTTATATAATGCAGTGTGTGTTTGTGTAGTGTGTGTATATAATGTAGTGTGTTTATATAATGCAGTGTGTGTAGTGTGTGTATATAATGCAGTGTGTTTGCATAGTTTGTGTATATAATGCAGTATGTTTGTGTAGTGTGTTTATATAATGCACACTACACAAACACACACTGCATTATATACACACTACACAAACACACACTGCATTAAACACTACATTCACTATACACACACACACACACACACACTACACAAATACACACAAACACTTTGCATTTAGTATATACAGCATTCACTTTATACACACTACCCACACACTACACAAACACTCTGCTTTCATTATATACACACTGCATCCACTACACAAACACACATTGCATCCTCACACACTACACAAACACACAATGCATCCACTACACACACACACACTACACAAACACACACAGCTCCCCTGTCTAAACACACTGCATCCACTACATGTGGCATGTATATTTTGTGCATTTACCTTTAGAAATAGTTTTTATTTTCCAAAATGGTAAATGTACAGAATATCGGCAAATTATATCGGCTATCGGCCTGAAAGTTCACAGAATATCGGTATCGGCTCTAAAAAATCAATATCGGTCGATCCCTAGTTAAAAGCAGTCAGCTGACACACTCAGCCAATCACAGCTGCCCATTGCCTCTCAGGGTAATACTTCCTTATTAGCCAAAGCAGCACAGAGAGGATAGACTGCTGTGGACTCTTGTTTAGCATTAAAACATAACATTAAAAACTATGAGGAGATGCTGATTGGCCAGGGCTGTGTTTGAATCATGATGGCTCTGCCCCTGATCTGCCTCTTTGTCAGTCTCAGCCAATCCTATGGAGAAGAAAAAACAAAGTGGAAACACCTCCCAAATACGTGATGTTGTAACAATAAATATAAATAACCTGAAATAGGTAGTAATTCGCAGACGTGAATCTGTATAGAAAATTAAGAAGCTAACATAGCGTAATATAGTACCAGAAAAGTGAGTATATTAGTGAAAATGAATGCACTCACAAACAAAATTTGAATTCAGGCTTCTCACCCTCCAAAAGGGTAGTAATCTTAGTAGATAGTCCTCCTCCGTGGGAAATATAGAAGAAGAACAGAACACAAATATAGTGAAGCATGTAATTATATTACAGAATAATATTTATTGGTCACACTTACATGAAAAAAGATATGACAGGCATATCTCCAAATCACATGGAACTCTGAGACTGGTATAAAGCGAGTCCGATAGAAGGTCCAATGTAGCAGGGAGGATACAATAGAAGAAATTGAAATAAAATAAATATAAAAATTACATACAGAATGTGAAAACAAATAGCAGCAGGTTCAGAAGTATCCAACGCGTTTCGTCCGACACAAAGGGGACTTCATCAGGGATATCCTGTGAAAGATCCAGGTGCTCTTGTGCAAACTGTAAACGTGCAGCAATGTTTTGTTTGGACAGCAGTAGCTTCCTCTGTTGTATCCTCCCATGAAATCCATTCTTGTTTAGTGTTTTACATATTGTAGATTCGCTAACAGGGATGTTAGCATTTGCCAGTGACTTTTGTAAGTCTTTGGCTGACAATCTAGGATTCTTCTTCACCTCATTGAGCAGTCTGCGCTGTGCTCTTGCAGTCATCTTTACAGGACGGCCACTCCTAAGGAGAGTAGCAGCAGTGGTGAACTTTCTCCATTTATAGACAATTTGTCTTACCGTGGACTGATGAACAGCAAGGCTTTTGGAGATACTTTTATAACCCTTTCCAGCTTTATGCAAGTCAATAATTCTTAATCGTAGGTCTTCTGAGAGCTCTTTTGTGCGAGGCATCATTCACATCAGGCAATGCTTCTTGTGAAAAGCAAACCCAGAACTGGTGTGTGTTTCTTATAGGGCAGGGCAGCTGTAACCAACACCTCCAATCTCATCTCATTGATTGGACTCAAGTTGGCTGACATCTCACTCCAATTAACTCTTGGAGATGTCATTAGTCTAGGGGTTCACGTACTTTTTCCACCTGCATTGTGAATGTTTACATGATGTGTTCAATAAAAACATGGCAAAATGTCATTCTTTGTGTGTTATTAGTTTAACCCCTTAAGGACGGAGCCAAATGTACACGTTGTGAACGAAACAAAATGTAAACAAAACCTGGCATTTGCGCTACATGTCTGTCCAACCGTAATACACCTCTTTCATATTAAATACACCCACCCTTATTATATATCATTTTATTCAGGGGAAACAGGGCTTTAATTTAATATCAAATATTTAGCTATGAAACATAATTTAATATGAAGAAATTGGAAGAAAATAAGATTTTTTATTTTACCGTATATACTCGTGTATAAGTCGATCTCATGTATAAGTCGAGTCCAGTTTTGTGACCAACAATTGTGAAATATGCTATGCCTCGTGGATAAGTCGAGGGTAAAACTTGGGGCTATGAAATTCTGTGATTTTTATAATTATATACACACACACTCATGCAAACAAACACTCTGCATTATATACACACACACTCATACAAACAATCTGCATTATATACACACACACACTCATACAAACACACACTGTGCATTATATACACACACACACACTCATACAAACACACACTCTCCATTATATACACACACTCTGTGTATATAATGCAGAGTGTGTGTTTGTGTAGTGTGTGTTAACTAGGTGGGGGAAGGGCATTTTTATTTTATTTTTAATTTTATTTAATATTATTTTTTTATTATTAAAAAAAATTTGTGTCCCCCCTCCCTGCTTGTTAACTGGTCAGGGAGAGGGGCTATCTTAATCCCTGGTGGTCCAGTGGCATGGGCTGTGAAGTAGGGGGGCCAGCAGGAAGCATTTACTTACCTTTCCTGCAGCTCCTGTCAGCTCCCTTCTCCTCCGTTCCGGTCAGCTCCACTGTAAGTCTCGCGGTCTGGTTGCCGCGCGGATCGTTGCCACGGCCGCGGCTCTCTAAGTTGCCATAATACAGACAGTGACTCGGGTATAAGTCGAGTGGGGGTTTTTAAGCACAAAAAATGTGCTGAAAAACTAGACTTATACTCAAGTATATACTGTATTTGTTTTTTAGTTCTACATAACATTTTAATGGTCAATGTCATAATACTGTTTGCTTTTACTGCAATAAAATACACATATTTGTATTCAGCAAAGTCTCACGTGTAAAACAGTACCCCCTATGTACAGGTTTTATGGCATTTTGGGAAGTTACAGGGTCAAATATAGCACGTTACATTTGAAATTGAAATTCGCCAGATTGGTTACGTTGCCTTTGGGACTTTATAGTAGCCCAGGAAAGAAATTTACACCCATAATGGCATATCATTTGCAATAGTAGACAACCCAATGTATTGCAAATGGGATATGTCCAGTCTTTTTTAGTAGCCATTTGGTCACAAACACTGGTCAAAGTTAGTGTTAGTATTTGTTTGTGTGGGAAAAATGCCAATTTTGGCCAGTGTTTGTGATTAAGTGGCTACTAAAAAAGACTGGACATACCCCGTTTGCAATACCTTGGGTTGTCTACTATTGCAAATGGTATGCCATCTTGGAGGTAATTTTCATTCTTGGGCTACCATAGGGTCTCGAAGGCAACGTAACCAATCTAGCGTATTTTAATGTGCAAAAAATGAAACACAAGTCTTATATTTGACACTGTAACTTTTGAAAACACCATAAAACCTGTACATGAGGGGTACTGTTGTACTCGGGAGACTTCGCTGAACACAAATATTTGTGTTTCAAAACAGTAAAAAGTATCGCAGCAATAATATCGTCCGTGTAAGTGCTGTTTGTGCTTGAAAAATGCCAAAAACTTCACTTTTAGTGGCGATATCATCGTTGTAATACATTTTACTGTTTTGAAACACTAATACTTGTGTTCAGCGAAGTCTCCTGAGTAGAACAGTACCCCACATGTAGAGGTTTTATGGTGTCTTGGAAAGTTATAGGGTTAAATATAGTGCTAGCAAATTAAATTCCCTTTACTCTCGGCATGGGTTGTCAGGCAGGTCCCGCTAATTGTAATTAATTAAGATACATAATTATGTAAAAATATTACATAAATATATATGTAGAATTAATATATGTATAGCACTACGGAATTTGTTGGCGCTATATAAATAATAAAATAATAATAATTATAATATACGTATGTGAATATGTGTGTGTGTATGTATATATGTGTGTGTGTGTATATATATATATATATATATATATATATATATATATATATTTTTATCTATAGGTATATATTATAGTGATATTTTTTAATTTAATTGTTTTACGTATTTACATATTTAATTTTTTTATATTATATATAAATATATATATAACAATTATATATATATATAGTAAAATACACCTAGACAGTGTATATGTGTATATATGTATATATATACTTAGATCATATATATATATATATATATATAATATACATATATATATATATGATCTAAGCATATATATATTTTTTTACACTTATTTAACTTTTTTTTATTTTATTTTCAGCCAGCAGGGGGACCTCCTGTCATTACAGGCAGCCCCCCTGCTGGCAATACAGCAGGCAGCTATCCCGGCCATGTGATTGTGAGGTGCTCGCAAGGACCTCACTCTCACATGGCCGGGGGGACTGCCAGGGGGTCGGACGTGCCGCGGGGGGCTCCCTGGGAGTCCCCCCCAACCGCGATCCGGCGACCGGGTAAGTATAGAAAGACCGGAGGGCGTACTATTACGCCCTGCAGCGTTTAGAGCCGCCTAAAATAGGACGTAATAGTACGCCCTCCGGTCTTAAGGGGTTAACCAGACTGTGATTGTCTATTGTTGTGACTTAGATGATGATCAGATCACATTTTATGACTATATATAAGAGGCTTGCACTCACGGTCTTTTCGCCTCTGTAAAATTCCTTTATTTCATATGCATATTAAATCTGATCAGTTTAATAATATAGATATGAAATAAAGGAATTTTACAATGTGAAAAGACTGTGAGTGCAAGCCTCTTACTATTTATAATTTACTTTTACTTTTACACAGTTTTTAAACTTTTCTACAGGCAGCAGGGGGAACTGCCTATCATTCCAGGCAGGCCCCCTGCAGGCACTGCTCTGTACGGCTATTCCGTCCATGTGATCGAGACCTCATCACGATCACATGGCTCGGGAGGGCCGGATCAGCTGCAGGGGGACCCTCCCCCCATCACGATTGCCAGCGAGCAGGCAAGTGCATAGGACAGCGGGGACGTACAATGCCGGCCGCATGCATTTTGGACCGGGTCCCCAAGGACAGCATAGTATGCCTGCCGCCCTTAAGGGGTTAATCAGTTCTTTCAGTGTTTGGTACATAGGTTTTACAGATTTAAATAAAATGTCAAAATATTGTGTACCTTGGTCCTAGGTAGTGACACAAATGTTGTGGATGTTCAGAAGAAGAGAAAAGGAGACACTTTACAACAAACTCCTCATTTAGATGAAGGTATTTATCTTTTGAATCACAGTTACATCTGAGCTACATTGTTGAGTCTCTTTCAGGATCATATGTAGAAAAATGCACAGGCGTGTCCAGGTGCCTCTTTCTCCGTCTGAGTTATAATTGTTTATCATCTTATTCCACTTGTATCATACTCAAATCAAACGTCCTCTTGACGTGTACTTTGGCAAATAATTTCCGTTTCCTCCTATTGTACTGCTGGTAGTTTTTTATTTTAACAAGCATGAAGCAACTATCTGTTTTGTTCCATAGCTTGTTGATACCATTTACATAAAGTCCTGCTCTAGATCAGTGGTTTCCAACCTTTTTTCACTTGAGTACCTCTTGTCCATTTCCATAAATTGTACCCCTCATATTAGCGAAATGTTTGTAATTAATATAGTTGTTATTTTCACATTTATACATATTTCTCTGTCCCATCTCCCCCTTTTCTCTGCCCCAGGCCTTCCCTGCGTCTTTGCCCCAGGCTCAGGCTGCTCCTCCTTTGCCCCAGGCTCAGGCTGCTTCTCATCTGCCCTGGGGACCCCTGCTCTAACACTTCCCCAGGCTCCTTTGCTCCTCCTTTTCCTCAGGCTCTCCTTGCCTCTCCAAGCTCCTCTCACTGGGCAGACAGACACACATGCAGATACAGACACAAACTGCCACACATACAGATGTGTACACACACACACACACACATATACAAACACTGCCACACATACAGATGTACAGACACACTGATACACACACGAACACATGCAAATGTACTGATACACATACAGATGTACAGACACATAGGTACAAACCCTGCCACGCATGCAGATACACACACACACTGATACACATAAAGATTGCAGGACACCAATACAAACACTGACACACCCCGATACACACACTGACACACGTGAAGATGTACAGACAGACACAAACACTGCCACACATGCTGATACACAGATGCAAACTGACACACATACAGTTGCACAAACACTGACATATTTTTTATATATATATATATATGTATGTATATACACATTCACACACACACTGACACTGATGCCAACACTGACACATACATACTGACATACACAGATTGCCACACATACGTATGCAGTTACAGACCCACAGATATACACATACTGGCACACTGGCAGATACATAGACACACAGATATAATCTCTGACACTCTTACAGATACACACACTGATGCATATGCAGATACAAACAATGCAACACATGCAGACACACATACAAGCATTGCCACCTGGCAATACAGATATATACATTGACACACATGCAGATTCATAGACACACAATCACTGATACAGATACACACCCTGACACACATGCAGAAACACACACACACATACAGATAAACACATTGACACATACACAGCCATACAGATACACACACTGACATATACGGATACACACCGTGACACACACACACATTACATGGAAAGGTTAAAGGATCTTAACATGTATAGCTTGGAGGAAAGATGAGACGGAGGGATATGATAGAAACATTAAATACATAAAGGAAATCAACACCGTAAACGAGGAGAGTATATTTAAAAGAAGGAAAACTACAACAACAAGAGGACATAGCATTAAACTAGAGGAGCAAACGTTTAAAAATATCAGGAAGCATTACTTTACGAAGAGGGTAGTGGATGCATGGAATAGCCTTCCAGCTGAAGTGGTAGAGGTTAACACAGTGAAGGAGTTTATGCATGCATGGGATAAGCATAAGACTATCCTAGGCTTAAGATAAGGCCAGGGACTAATGAAAGTATTAAGAAAATTGGACAGACTAGATGGGCCGAATGGTTCTTATCTGCCATCACATTCTATGGTATACACAGATTGACAGAGACATACACATATAGAAACACTACATACATACATACACACAAAATTTTACCCACCCTCCAGTTTATTACATTGTAGGTGCAGGAGGGTTGTTTTTGCTTTCTGGGCCTGATGAGTGTAAGTGGCTTGCTCACCGCCTGGTCCGCCCCCACTCACGGCCCTCCCCTCCCTCGTGGCAAAGTGTGTTTGAGCTGGGAAATTACAGTGATACTTTGACTTTTGCTGATCTTCAGGAACAGCAAAGAAAGAGGGTTTTAGTGTATAAATAATGCCTCGGTAGTCTCACTGCTTAACTAATTCCCATTGGGAGTTTGGTAACTTTTGTTTATACAGCCCTACTCCTCTATAAGCACTCCTTGTAACATTAGAGACGTCTAATATTTATTAAACTTCCTTTTTTTCCCCCACATTTTGTTTAATTTAGCATTTATCTCCTGCTCCTGCTCTGTTAATAGCTTTCTAGATTCTGCAGGAGCCTCCTGTGTGTGATTAAAGATCAATCTACAAAACAGAAGATAAAAACTTCTAAAGTAAGTTAACATCTGATTGAATATGAAACTTTTTTTCCCATGCACACTGTGTTGTTCACAGGCAGAGAGGTGTGGCTACGGCTGCTTAAACAGAAACAAAAGTGATGCAACTCCTAAATAGCAAAGAATTAAACAGTGAGACTGCAGGGGCATGATCTACATACAAAAACCACTTCATTAAACTAAAGTTTTGGCGCCTATAGTGCCCCTCTTAAGGGGCTAAATGTTTTTGTGTGGCAGAATTATGGTGACCTGTGAGTAGTAAGGTTTAAAGTTTTTTGTGCAATTCCCCTGATCTGTATTAGGAGAACTGGAGCAACTGAATGAAGTCAATTTGGTTGCAGTTGAGCTATTAGTGAATGCCATTACACCTTGTTATAAAGAGATTTAGCTGGTCTTAACATACAACTGAACTACAGCCAAATAGAATTGCAGATCGTTTTGAAATAACCAGATTTGCCTTTTCAGAGTAGCTGAATGTGTTTAAAAAAAAAAAATAGCAAATTTGTGACTACCAAACAGTGATTGGTTGCTGTTTAGTGTATAGTAAATAGACCCATAGATTTAATATTTTTTTTTTATATAGATAAAGCTACTATTATTGCGGTCACTAAATTTTCATTTTCCCCTCTTACAGTAAGCACCACAATCCAGGATTCTATCCCAAAAATGCTCAAAAGTGTGAGAAATAAACAGTCACCGAAGAGAGGTAAATTCACGGGTTACTACATGTTAAAGCCTACGTCTTGCTTTCACTGCAGAATTATCTCCTATCATAGTTAGGAAAGCCAACTAAAGATGGATTATATCATGACATCACCACAGTTTTGTCTTTATAATATGTTTTATGTTACTTGTACAACAAGAAAATGTAATCAAATAATTTCAATAAAGAACACAATACCCCACTTTCTGCCAATACCTAAATCTAAACTACTGCATTGGACATGCCATATAGTGCCAATGGGTTTTATTTTTACCTTGTACTTGGCAGACTGAAATCTAGCCATTTATTAGCATTTTTATAACCAGATATCGCTGCTTAACAATCCCTAGGAAAATAGAAATGTTGAATAATTTAAAGCACATATTTAAGAATTCTTTGTTAAATACATTTTCTGATTTTTCAGATTTTCAAGAAAATGTACAACTCACTCATGTAATCAATCCGTGCAATTTCTTTGTCCATCGGCTTTACCAGAAGAAACATCTATTTATGCTTGAAAAAATGCTGGTGTCATTAAGCCACACCTCCAGCTCATGTTTGCCAACAGATACTTTAGTTCACGGTAATTTATCAAAGATTTATCTTTTCATCTTTCAAGTCAATGTTTTTGTAATAAAGTTTTTAGGAAGCCATAGTGTTTCATTTACCAGCAAGGTTAATCCATACCTTCCAGTATAATTTGTGTATTTAAAAGGCGTATCCCAAAGGGGTTTCCAGTGAGATGTAGGTGTATTCTAACACAATGAGAGGTCCTGGAAGACATACTGATATGCACAATTGACCTCTGACAGTAAATATAATCTGTGCTTTAGCAGTGGGAAAGCTAAATCCGGTGTAGTGTCAGGATCTGTACTACAATAGACCGGTTCTAAACCTGGCCTCAGAAGTTTCTAAATAGCTCCAATGATATTGCTTGGGCGGTATGATCCCTGCCTGTGGATATAGACATAGTCCAGGTCTGGTCAGATCTTGGGCTAGGAGCCAGCACCATGAGTGTGATAGCAGGATCCCAAATGACGTGGGGAGAAGTTCTTACTTGTAAGTGCGATAGCAGCAGGTCACCGATATGTAATATGCAGAGAATTAAACAAAACATAGTATACTCTGTTAAAAGATGATAAAAATAATAAAAGGAGAGGTACTCACAAAGAGGAAAAAAAAGATCCTTCTGGCATACGTGGTATATTCCCCACCAAGGAATTAGAAGAGAGAGTCCTCTGGATAAAATCTCCTAAAAACCAGCTGGCAGCAGGCTTTTTCAACACTGAATATTTTCCAGATATACTGTTGTGGGAGGGGGCAGAGTGGAGCAAAAAAGTGCTTTACATTTTTTTTTTATTTTATTTTTTTTGCATATACTTAAATAGTCAAAAATAAATGCTGAAATTAGTACTTTACACTGTATACGATTGGCGCATATGGTCAGTGTGTAAATAAAAATATATTACATTGAAATGGTATATCACACAATAATAGCAATATTTAGTGTGTAACCTTACTCATTTAAAACCATTTTCCATATAGTAATGGTAATAATTTTGGAGTTCACCACTCAAGAACAATAACAACTTGATACCTCAAAAAATATTCTAAATATATAGTAGTGCAACTGATATAGAGCAAAATCGTAAATGTCACCAAATCAGTCTGTGTAAATAGTAAAATTTTAAACTGACACTTTACAGAGCCACCGTAAATGGCTGTTTTCTAAACAATGTGGCCTGTTATAAGATCTCCCTCCCCATCATGGACATGCCTGCTCCTTCCCTTCACATGTTTTATCGACTCCTCAGAAAGAGAAACCATATATATAGTGTAGTATTTTCTATACAAATAGTAGGAAAATATAAAATATTGCATCCACATGTATTTGAGCCTGCTAATATTGTATTAATTCAATCAAGAGAGACTG